ACGAACATCAACTAAATACATAATCTACTGTAGCTAATTTTTGTCCTTTTTTGTCATTTGCATTCTACAGTTTCAACTTAAATTATTGGTCCATGTACAGGCGATGCCTTCTATTGGGCCTGTTTTGATTTTATATTTATTTACTCATATTGTTTGTTATCTTTGTACATTGAGTAAATAAATATTATTATTATTATATTACATCATGTGGTAAATGGTATAATGGACAATATCACTATGGACGAGACGGACTTGCTGGTGAACATACAAAACCACCCTAGTCTGGGAATGCCAAAGATAACAAGATATGCTAAACCCTACTCAGTGACAATTCCACACAGGAATGAGTGGGAACAGCAAGTTAACCTGATAAGGAAATATATCCGTGCATACACAGATGGCTCCAAGAGCGAGGTAGGTGTTGTAGCTGGTATATTTGTGAAGAAGCTAAAGATTAAAAAATCTGTTAGCCTAGGAACCTTCCAGGCAGAGCTATATCCTATAGAACTGTGTGCCGGAACGATCGCAGAACGAAAACTGAAACGCAGAACTGTAATTATTTTTTCAGATAGACCAGCCGCACTTAAAGCACTTGATTCTACCTACTTGACATCAAAATTAGTGTGGAATTGCAAAGAAGCTATAGTATAATTTTCAGCTTTAACGTTTCGCTGGTGTCAACAGCCTCCCTCACGGGCGTAACCAGCAGTACCTCTATCTTAAGGAAAGTACCGCACATTGAAAGTTGAAGAGCAAAAAATGGTTCTCTTATTTAGAATAATGTGACTCTAGCGCCTGCGGTAGCGTACACTGCTAGCTGATTTTTGCAATCACAACTTAAGTGTATGAAAAATCTTATGTTAATTTTTCCGGTACGACAGGGAACAGTTCCTATGGATTAATTCTATGGGCGTGTTTGATTGACTTGATCTGTTTAATTCCTCTGTTGTCCATATTCGTAGCTAATTTTTTTCTCAGAAGGTTTCGATTTTTCTATGATGCAAGGTCTAGAGGTGAGACTGCCTACAGAAGGAGGAATGTTTTCAAACCAAGTGGCATAAAAAGGAAAATCCAGTACTAATGGATAGTCTAGCTTCGACTAAGAGTTGTTTCTTGAAATTTGTAGAAGTTAAAATTACTGAGACTTGGTTTGGAATATTTCATATATAAACTACGAGCCCCTTCCCACTTCAGTTGGCCCAACTATTGAAATCTCAGTTTTTTTCTTATCAAACACACATAATAAAAATATAGCAGCGTGTTATCGGTTTAAAATATTAACAATGGACACCTCAACAATGGTGTGCAATACAATGGAGTGATGAGGCCCTATTCGAAGTCGCAGTAGAGTTTCGCAAAAAAAATGAAGCATTCCATGTTGACTATCTGAAGAGAAAAGTGAAATTTCCAGCATCCATTATGGTCTAGGGCAGTATATGTCATCAAAAGGAGTAGGAAAGTTTCATTTTATTGATGGAAATGTGGATACAAACAAATATTTGGTATTTTAGAAGAATCGCTGATGTAAGAATGACATCCGGCCAAGATTTTGTGTTTCAGCAAGATGGTGCAGCGTGCCATACCTCAAAAAAGGCTATAAAATGGATGGACGAAAATAATTGAAATGGGTTTCTAGTAGTCCAGATCTGTCACCTATTGAAACTCTGTGGCATGAGATGAAAAAGGTTCTACGACAACATTCTGCTCGTACAGTCACCGAACTGAGACAAAAGCTTCAAGAAATATGGGATTGTTTTACACCAAATGTTTGCCAAAACTTGGTTAACACTATGCACCAAAGAATTTCAGCCGTAATAAAAAATAAAAGTGATGTTACCCAATGGTAGTCTTTCAATTGTTGCTTTGTTTACTTCGCGCATTTATTCGCACATTGTTTATTTGTTCAGATGTTCTATTAGTTATAGGTCTAAGTGATTTCAAATATGTATTTTTTACGACTAGAATGTATCTAAAATGTTTTTGGGGGCTCGTAGTACCTCTTTCTCAACGGGAAGCTACTGGTGAACTTGCATTCTACCGATATACTAACGGAGTTTGTTCCTCCAAGTTCCACCACCAGCTTTCTTCGTCTACTAGGCCATCTCTTAAGCCTTGTGCGCTTTACACTTTAGTTTGTACTGTGTACTGTATACGTCTAACATAAAATCTAGTCAATTTTGTAAAACTTCAATATCCAATCACTTGAATTTACAACATGATTAACTTTAGGAAGTTTTGGCTTGCCTACCCATTTCCAGGTCAAAAATGGTGATTAAAACAACTCGAGTTTGAGTAAAATCGTTTTCAATGTAAGTTCAGAAGTTTTTCTTCAATATCCCTTTTGGATGCCACTGGTACGTTTGACGTTCCGAAGAAAAACAAAAAAGCAAGCTCGCACCTCGCACCAGCAACAATGACTGTCGAATTGCACGCTTCGAAAACATCGTGAAGGTCAAAAAAAATATCCAACAAGAAACGCGGGACGAGGTGTTCTCTGTATTTTCACCCCTCCATCCGCCTCCGCTCCTCTTTGTCTTTCGTTGCGCATGATTGTGTTGTGGGTAGTCTCTTTCTACGCTAGCATGCAAACGTCGAAAAAATGCAGTCAAGTAAATTGACTACGAGTCAAAGGTCAAATTTCAATTTGACTTTCGTAAAAAAATGTTTGTCTATTACCCTAAAAAAAAATTAAAAAATAATCAGTATCCTCTAAAACTTCAAAAAACGAGGTTGGCCGTTTTCTTTTTTTTTGTTTTTGGCATTCAATTTTACGCCACCACTACTACTCATACACTGATTCCTTGAAAATTTCATCAAAATTGGAGTGCACAAATCTCTTACATTTTCTGGCTTCCAAAAGCAATCGAATTGCAACGTTGCTTTAGCGCGCTGAGGCAGCTCAAAAAGCATCTAGGCAGTGTCGAAATAATATGGACTATGGAAGAGAAGCGTCACTCCGTCGTTAAAACAGTGTCTAAAATAATATTGTGTTATCCAAAATCTTACATGCCGTTTAAATGTGGTGTCTGTGATAGAGCAGGTAGTGAGGAAGAAGGTAAACATACAGGTAATGAAAGTCACGTGCAGTTAGTTGATCGTAGAACACTGTCAGAAGTGTTTCGCGCGTCACAAAACAAGCGGAAAGTGGGAAGTATTAGGATGATCCACTAATGATGTAAAGACGAGTGTTGTTATTCCAACATATACTAAGTGAAATAAATAAAATAAATCCGAACACCCAGTTTAAATGGTTTTATTTTAATAAAATTTTGTATAAGTACTTAATGAAGCATAATAAGTAAATGATAAAAATTTCAAAATGATTGCACTGCTTCAAAGCCCTTTGACCTTTAATAATGTGTGGATGCACCCTGATGTGCTACGCATTCTCCAACGCGCCTAGGCATGCTTCTGATCAGGTGGTCAATCCTCCTGTGGTATCTCATTCCAGGCAACCACCAACTCCTCTCGAAGTGCTCCTAGAGTCTGAGGAGGACGTTGCAAATTGAGCAATCTCCTACCCATCATATCCCACACGTGCTCAATTGGGGATAAGTCGGGAGATCTTGGTGGCCATGGTAACAATGTGACATCATTATGTTGAAAGAAGTCTATTGTGACTCTTGCAACATGTGGTCGGGCATTATCTTGTTGGAAAGTTGGATCTGCTAGGGTGTCAAGATAGGGTAAAAGATGGGGTTCTAGAACTTCGTGGATATAACGCTGCGCGTTCATGTTACCTCTGATGAAGATTAAAGGTGACCTGGAACCATAAGCTATAGCACCCCAAACCATAACAGTGTGATGAACATGTCTTTCAACAAAAAACTGTGGATTCCTCCTTTCACCACGTCGCTTTCTAACCCTGGCACGACCATCGTGCATGCCTAAACAAAATCGAGACTCGTCACTAAAGACAATACTGTTCCATTCCTGATCCCAGAGTGACCGTTGTCTGCACCACTCAAGGCGATTACGTCGGTGTTCTCGAGTTAAAGGGAGGACCCAGTGTGGCCGGTATGAAAACAAGCCAAAACTTCTCATTCGTCGGTAAACACTTCGCATGCCAATAGGTCTTCCGTGTTCTGCAAACCATTCATTTGCAATGGACCTGGTAGTGGAGAAACGGTCCTTTAAGGCCAATAATCTTAGGCGGCGATCTTCACGGTCTGTTGTTCTACGGCGGCGTCCAGTGCACCTTGCTCTTTGCGTACGGCCTTCTCGAAGCCATGCCTGACAACACCTAACCACAGTGTCTACACTTTTTTGCACTCTAACTGCAATTGCCCGAAAAGAAAGTCCAGGTTCCCGAAGTCCCACTATACGGCCCCTATCAAACTCACTAAGTTGACGAAATCGTTCAGGTCTCCGTACTCTAGGCATCGTAACCGATCGTAAAGGATGTCAAGAACCAAAATCCGCCAACGTTCATTCTTCACTGCGGCTGAAATATTCATTTTTAGAGCGTTAGTGAATTCAAAAAAAAACAGTATAAAAACCGGAATGTCCAACTGATAAGGCTGAAAATTTTTCATTCACCAACTTTTATTAAAATAAAACCATTTAAACTGGGTGTTCGGATTTATATGTCACTTAGTATATTTGGAATTTGAGATCGTTCTAACACCACGTAACTCCGAAAATTAAGATATGCATTTACTTGAAAAAGGTTACCGTGATTGCCGAGACGTCGTCAGTATTCAGTATTTCACTGTATTTCAACTGTATGAGGTTCATTTGCTACACGTCATTCGATAGCGAATCCAAAAAAAGTTGATGATGCATGAAGCCTCAGACTTGCAGGAAAAATAGGGGAAAGGGGGGAGAGACCACATTGTTTTTTGTTTGAAAGCTTAACATAACATAAATGTCCATTCTGTTCTTAAACTGGTGTTTATTACTTCTTTTCTTAATTACTTTATAATAAGCGTAAACGACTTGACAGTACCCCCTGAAAGGAGGCAACCCACACTGCTTGCCTCTTCCCCCAAGACATGATCCTGGATCCGCGCCTGCTCTGAGTACTTTTCTTCGGTATTTTCATTTAACAACACTTTGTCGATGACCTAAACCTAAATAGAGGAAAGGCGTAAAACTATATATAACTCACCGATAACCTTGTACCCATAGAAGAGTAAACTCACCTGAAAAAGAAAACAATATTAATACTCAGACTGAAGCAAAATGTAAAACATCAAATAATTCTTGAAACGCCGACTTTTTGAGCAACATGCATAATTGAACATATTTGCGGTAAAAACATCCGAAGATTAGGACTAGTAACGTATATGAAATATTAGTTACTGACTTTTCCTCTTCCATACAGATATGGAAACTGTTTTCGTATAGTATATCGTAGGTACTATGCTAACAAGGACGAATTGGCGCTGAATGCACTGAACCAAATTACATCCTTTTGTTTCTGATAAAAATGGCTTTGAAATCTCGCAATATATCAATTACGTCTTTCCAATCTTGATTCCATCGATCGTGTTCTAAACATACCATTCGAAGAAAAATATAAATCATTTGTTAGCATAATCAAGCGTGAAATCTATGGCCGACCCGCATAATTAGCATTAATAAACACAAGGCGAAATTGCGTGTTGTTTTTCAACAAGAGTGACACTGACAACGATCGTCTGTTATTTAAGTTTAAGATAGTAGCCTCCTGGATGATTTTTCGTTTTGACGATACGGCTGTCAGGCATTCCCCGATGATATGGTCGACGGGCCGTGCACGGCATGGTTGATCATCCGTGGATGAAGCAGTCGATGTTCGACTGTTTTACACCGTGGCGGACGTCACGGTTGCTTCGTCATCCAAGTAGGCGATCCGAAGACGCGACAGTGCGTCGCCCATCAAAACAACTGAACGCTTGATTCGGATTCGGAGATGTTACCAGGGCATCTGCGATTCCAGGTGATCAAAAATGGATTAATATGCTTCACTTCATCAGTTCACCGAGGACTGGCCGATAAGAGCGCTCTTTGTTCCTAGGGTATCAAGATTGTGGAACAACCTACATGAGTTCTTTTAGCTCTAGGCAGTTTGAAAATAGAAATATCAAAGTTTCTTTTAGCTCCTCGATTTAGGTGGAAAAGATCGCCAATTGTTTCCTGTATCATTTCCATCTCTCCTGTTTGTACTGCACGAGAGTTGAAATTACACTATTTTTCACGAACAATTCAGCCGTATCATAGATCAACAAATCGAAACCAAACAGGAGAAAGTGTAGAAACAAACTATGATTCGCGCTTTTTTACAACGACAAAGACTTTGCGGACTACCGTTCATGATAACTTAATAAGGGTTCTGAACAGTCGGTAAAGCGTGAACGGATCCTGATCGCTGAATCGTTTTAATATGCACCCGATGCGATTTCCAAACTGCGGTTAGCCGAACGCGCCGAGAACGTAAAAAGACTCGATGTAGTGAAAGTTGCGATGAGTTTCTATTTCTGCAAGTTGAGCTGAAACAGAGCGCCGTTTTGAGATTTTACTTATTGCGCACCCAGCTGTACCTTTTAGCGGTATTATCAAATGTTGAGTTGAGATATTCGTTTACAGTTTGCTTGTTTAGCATACTGCTAAAAATTATACAGTAAAATTGAAACAGTCGACTGGATCTTTTTGTCTGATATCGGTTTAACGCTGACCACCAAACTCGAACGATTCATAAACATCTTAACAAATAATGTCGCTGAGTACTTGCCTAGGGTAGTATGGGAGGGTTGATGCAACAAAATCAACTGGTTTGATCACGAATTGGCTCAGATGAGAGAGAATTTAAAACTAACAACACAAATTAATAATTATAATCGCCAGGTAGTATCAAAGAAAGAGATTAATCTATTCAAATCTAAGTACCGATCAGAAATCAGAATTAAGAAAAAATGCTCATGATAAATATATGCGCAGAGCGTCAAATAAACAAGCAGCTATGTGGAATGTGATTAAAGCCAATGGTGTACAATCATCAAAATCACAATCGTCTACTCTCAACGCGAATGACTTAAATTCTTTCTTCGTCAGCTTTGCTGAAACCATTATTGCTGAAATTCCAGCTACCCAGTCGAACTTCAAAGATTTTATACAGACTAGTGATACACTAACATTTCAACTTTCGAACTGTTTCATTAAATGATGTTAGAGACGCAATCAAAAGCTTAAAGAATTCTAAAAGTAAAGATCGACGTTAAAATTATGAAGACCTTGAATAACTTGATAGCATATCCTATTACAAAATTGATAAACATGTGTATAGAAAATAATGTCTTTCCTGCCTTATTAAAACTTGCAAAGATTCTGCCACTCTTCAAAAAAGGATGTGAGAATGATCCATGTAATTTCAGACCCGTTTCTATAATACCAATTACAGCAAAAATTTTCCAACATCACATTTTGATTCAAAACTTGTATATGGTTTTAGTAATAACTGCCTGTCCTTAAGTTAAAATGATGAAGACCTTAAATAACTTAATAGCACATCCTATAACAAAATTGATAAACATATGTATAGAAAATAATGTCTTTCCTGCCTTATTAAAACTTGCAAAGATTCTGTCACTTTTCAAGTAAAGATGTGAGAATGATCCATGTAATTTCAGACCCGTTTCTATAATACAAATTATAGCAAAAATGTTCCAACATCACATTTTGATTCAAAACTTGTATATGGTTTTAGTAATAACAGCCTGTCCTTAATTGCGTCTTATTTATCAGACAGAAGACAGTATGTTAGTTTTCAAAATTGTTTATCTAACAATGTACATATTAAGCACGGAGTTCCCCAAGGAAGTGTGTTGGGACCGATCCCTTTTTTGATTTACGTCAATGATCTGCCAAACTGTAGCATCAATCGATATATATTATTTGCGGATGACACGACACCAATATCCTCCAATAATAACTTTGACCATGCATTACTCGATTCTGACAACATTCAAAACTGGTTTAATGACAACAGTTTGTCAATCAACATAGCGAAAACTCAATCTCTTCTACTGAGTACTCGTCCACATAGAAGTAATTTAGTAGAACCCGTGAAATTTCTTGGAGTGATTATTGATGCAAGCTTAACTTGGGAATCACACATCACCTCTTAATCAAAGAAGTTATCCAGAATAACATATGATACGTGGTTTAAATACCTACGTAACTAAATCAACTTTAATGACAGCCTGTTATGCTAACTTGCGATACTGCATACTGATTTTGGGTCATTCATGTCATGTATCGAAGGTGTTTGCTGTTCAGATAATACCAAACTTACATTTCAGACAGTGTTGCAAGACGACATTTATCGACCTAAACATTTTAACTGTGCCATGCATATATATATATATATATATACTGGAATGTCTAATCCACGTTAAAAATAATTACGATGATTACAGAACGAAACCTTTCGTGATGTGATCCGATTGGTTAGTGTTATTTTCCCTTAGAATAAAAGTATACACGGCATGTGCGTACAACGGTATCGTTGATGTTCCCAAACACCAGAGGAAGCACTTATCCACTCCCCTACGATCCTAGAGGATATCATGACAAAATCAACCTAATCCATTTTTAATTGAAAGAAAACCGTTTCCGATCGTCGGCAAAAAGAACAAACACCATCATCGCTGTACTCCGACGTACATCTCTGTCCGCCGGTGAAAAAATCCCCCTTAGAATAATATTTGCTCGGAGTACGCGGTAACAACTCGCCACAAAGGGTGTGTTTTTACAGGCCGCGGGGTGAGCTTTAACTTTTGCTGTGAAAGCGGCGATATGCAAGGGACCCACCCGTATACATTTATGTACGAGTATATGTATTGCCACCCAGTTCAGCGCTATTGATCTGTGATTTTGCTGCGTCTGCTGTTTCGCTATGAAACTGGCTTCCATGTGGTATGCGGCGACCAAAAAGTAGCTATATAAAGACAGACAAAGCGTCCACAAAACAGCTAAAGGCATCTAAACACGCTTGTTCTCATTTAGAAGGAAATAATCCTCTTTTGGTGAATCTGTTGCTAAAGGCATCTAAACACGGTTGTTCTCATTTAGTAGAAAATAATCCTTTTTGGATGAATTTATTGATCATCACCTGCTTTGCACACATTTTTTGTTCAAAGTTTATCACCCATTTGCAACCTAAGAAATATATATTTTATTCAATAAAAAGTTATAAATTACACTTTCCGCTAGAGGAGTTATTTTCAAAGCCATACCTATTTAACTTTTACGACGCTACGCGAAATACTGAACGACTCAGAAGTACGTCACTTTGAAATTCATAAGTTTTCTGACCTCAATTTGCTTATTTGAGCAATTGTTAGGCTATTTGACACGAACGCGAGTTATCTAAACAGCCTGATCTCAAGACGATATGTTTAATTTCGTATGATTTTGAACATGAACGCCAAAAACCGTGGAAAGAGTTGCTTAGTATAGATGTAGCGTTTTTTAAATATTTTATGACAACTTGGCAACACCGCCTCGGGAGTAAAACAGTAATAGACCAAGAGCCGACTTCGAAGTTTTGGTTAAGTCGCGTAACGATGAGGAATGTTGAAAACTAGTCAAATCTTGCGTATTTCTTACCAGTAAACTCGACAAGTTCGTTGTTTATCATCAAAATACGTCAGATGTATTCAGTTTTTATCCTATTATATCAGTACAGGATGATGTATTAGGTAGCCAAATAAGTTCGTGCGGTTGCTGTATATCGCACGTTGCCATGGATGTTGTTGGTCGATAGCGATTGTTTGTTACCTGTTGTCACTTTAGTATGAATCCTTCTTTTTTCACACACATAAAAAGTTTCTGAAAATTGTTACATACTTAGTCCTAATAGTTGAAAATGGCGACGAATAAAACAGTAATTCGAAGTTGTTTACTGTATGAGTACAAACTTGGTACAAAAGCTGCAGCGGCGGCGCGAACAATATGTACCGCATTCCGAGATGATGCCGTTAGTGATCGAACAGCACAGATGTGGTTCAAAAAATTTTCTTCGGGAGATCTCAGTTTGAGCGATGAACCGCGCTCAGGGAGACCAAAAATCATGAACAACTAGGATCTT